AGCCTTCCATGAACGTGGCTCTCAACATCGATCTGTCCCTTTCCTTTGTGGCTGCCGCCCGCGTGAGGCTCCCTCACGCCCTGGAGGTCCCCAGGAACCCACCTGACAGGCTGTGGGGCTGCAGGCTGGCGCCCTGCCCCTGCGGAGCCACTCCGGCCCCTCCGAGTCCTGAGTGCAGAGTCCTCATTCTGCTGTCTCATGGCTCCATGCCCTCGGCCCATCCCGGTGCGTGCAGCAGATTTCTCCTTCCGGTGCAATCACACCCCACAACACAGGGTCCTGGGTCACTGACAAGGCGTGGGTCACCCCGGGACCCTGTCTGCTGTGCCCCCAGGTGTGGGCGAGAGCTCTGAGCCAGGCCTGGGGCTTCTCCTCGAAGAACCTGTTGACGTGGCTTTGGCGCGTGCCCAGAGAGGGGCTGCTGGAGCAGACGCGGGTTATGGGCTTGGCTGGCGGTGCCCGGGGAGGGCACAGGGGGCCTCCCCCAGGCAAGGTGCATCTCTCCGCTGCACCGTCCTCGAAGTTCTGGAACTCTCTCCCCGCTGTTTCCAGAGGGGCTGAGCTGGGGCCCCCCTCGGCTCCCAGCCGTGTGCACCAACTCTCTCCTCTCTCCTCTTGCCCCTGATGGTGCTGGCAGCACTTTATTTATTTATTTAGCTTATTTTTTGGGGGGGAGTCACACCCGGCAATGCACAGGGGTTATTCCTGGCTCTGCACTCAGGAGTTACTCCTGGCGGTGCTCAGGGGACCCTATGGGATGCTGGGAATCGAACCCGGGTTGGCCGCGTGCAAGGCAAACGCCCTCCCCGCTGTGCTATCTCTCCAGCCCCAGCACTTTATTTTTTTATTGCTTGGTTTGGGTGGATAGGGCGCGGCGGGGGGTGGGGGAGGGGAGGGTGCCCAGGTGGAGCTGGGATGTAGCCCTGGTCCAAGCGCCTGGCTTATAGCGTGCGTCCCCTGCCCACGAATGCACTTCGAGCTGACACTTTTGGGAAGCAAAGGCAGGAACGGACAATTCCCTATAGTGCCGCAGGGACATGTGTGTCCAGGGAATGGTCAGTTCTGGCTGGGGGGGGGGCTCTTTCCTATATGGAGAGCAGAGACCGGACCCTCTGAGCAGGACTGAAACGCAGGGATAGGAACCAGAGCAATAGGACAGTGGGTAGGGTGTCGCCTTGCATCGCCCATGTCAGCCTGCATTCCTAAGCCTGAGAGCTCCTGCTGCCAGCAAAATGACTCCCAGAGCGGCATCTTCAGGGCATCTGAATGGTCCAGTGCTCGCATCAGGGAATGTGGCATGGTTCAGACCCGGCTGGGGGGCGGGGGCAGGGGAGGTCTTGAGATGCCAGGGATGGGACTCGGGTCCTGGTGTGTGCAACACCCGCACCCTGGCCTTGCGTTTTTGGTCCTCCATGTCCGCAGCCCTGAGCCCCGTATGTTGGGGCGGGAGGACCCGCCCCTGCTCTGCTCCTGGGGACGGGCGGGAGTCAGGGCTTGCCTGTCCCCACCATCGGCCGCGCCCTGCCCTGGTGGCTCTGTGGGGAAGCCCCATATCAGTCCATAGCGTGCAGAGATAAGTGGGTTCGGGAGAAGATGCCCGTGGACGGGCTCCAAGCAGTTCCTGAGAACTGGCTGGCAGCGGGCGGGAGAAGGCGGGGGCCCCGCCCTGAGGCTCTGGGGCAGCCAGCTGTTGGGGTGGGGGTGCCGTCTCCCCCAGGTGAGCAGCCTGGGGACTGGGGGGCCTCAGTACCCCTATCTGTGCTGTGGGGCTCCTCCCTCACCAGGGACCTCTGTGGGAACTGGCCCCTGGACCCCGAGGTCCAGCCTGCAGCTTGCCTGGGCCAGCACGACAAGCTGTCGGCACTGAGGATGCTGGGTGAGGGCTTGTGGTCCCTCCCAACCCCCGTGGGGAACCTGCGGGGAGGAGGCCATCACTGCCCTGTCCACACCATGCCATGGGGGCCCAGCCCTGGTGCTTTCCCAACGTTTCCGCCTGACAGTTTCACACAAGCCAGTGAGCCTGTTTCCGGGGCTCGCCCTGGAACAAGCCCGTGTGTTCTGGGCCAGCACCCTCCCTGGCAGGGACCTCATGGGCTCTTTCACGGGTGGGCATCCTTCCGGCAGCACCCGGCCCTGTAGTGTGTCTCCCCCCCGCATCCAGAGGCTGCGTCCTCCGAGGCAGGGATGTGCAAACGCAGGCCGGAGCCAGCACTGGGCCGAGGGGGATGGGTGTTCTGGACGCGACCCGTCTACTGCACTCCTCCCGGCCACTTCGGGAAACAGGGAGCCCCCGGCCCAGGAGGTTCCAACTGCCCGGCCCCAGTCCCACAAGGAACAACCCATCGCCTTCTGGTAACTTTTCTCTTTTATTGCCAAGTTCCGATTTCATTTCCGCCCTCGTGCTCGGCACCCACGGCACGTGGGTCCTTCCCTGAACCTGCCCGGGCCTGAGCTGGTCCTGGACGCCCCTGCCCGGGGACAGCGCAGCTCAGTCGGCGTGGACGCGGCGGTGTCCACGGTTTCGGTTATTGCGTGGAGGGGGGCGGCGAGCCGTGGCCCCGCCTTGGTGAAACAGGGTCCCGAGCAGGGAGAGAAAATCCAGTGTGTGAGCTGTCTCCTCCCTGCTGGGGGCCTGGAGACTGCAGGGACTCGGGGGGGCCGGGGAAGGGGTGGTGCGGGGACGATGTTCCTTCTCACAGGTGGGGGCTCTGGGGTCCCCATGCTTCTCCCGGGGGCAGGAGCTCATGAACTTGTAGTGGGGTCCCAAGGGCTCACTCCAGCGCCCCCGAACTGGAGGGTCCTGGTCTTGCGGGTGCCGGGGCCAGCTCAGCCCTGAGTGGGGTGGACACCAGGCCCAGAGGAGCTGGGGGGACAGGGGCTCAGCAGGGACAGGGCTGCGGTGAGCTGCTGGTTTTGCCGAAGCCCCACCCTTGGTCCCACCCGCCTCCTCCCTGAGGCCTGCCGGCCCTCCTTCATGGTCGGACCCATGAAGACGGGACCTAGTTGGGGTTGGGGGACCTAGTTGGGGTTGGGGGGTGCTCCTTCTCCAGAGCCAGCGCGGAGACCTGCCTCCTGTGAACCCAGACCCTCCAGCCGAGGACGTGTCCTGGCGCCAGCCCAGGGCCAGGGTCCTGGCCCCACTTGGCTGGGTGGGAGTTAGTACCGTGCTGTCCCCCCTTTCCCTCTGGGGGGCCCTGGGTGGTGCTGGGGGAGCCGGAGCAGCATGCTGGTCGCCGGGGAAGTAGGTGCCCCGGCCTGCGACGGCCCCTGCCCCGGGCCACCTGGGAGCCTGCTGACGGGGCTGGCCTGTCCCCCTTTCCGAGCTGGGTCTCTGTGGTCTCTGTGCATTTGAGGCCGCGGGGGCAGAGTTCCTGAAGGGCTGAGGCCTGGCCCTGGCTTGGCTGGCTTGAGGGAGGACGGACGACCCTCGGCTAGGGGGCAGGGGGTCTCGAGGACAGCGTGTGCACCCGGCACCCAGAAGATCCGCGCAGGGAGAACAGGAGGGGGACACCCGAGTGCCTTTCGCCTTCTGGAGAGGGAGCTGGGGCTGGGGCAGCCAGGCAGAGTTGGGGTCCAGTCCGGGGGCGGGGGCGGAGGATGGTGAAGGGAACCAGCTGGTGTGTTTGCAGCCTGGACTGGGGCAGGGGATGGCACCGCCTATTGGCACGCCAAACCACGCCCATTGGAGGCGGAGCCTCGGTCGCATCAGCCACGCCCACCGAAGGCGGGGCCTGTTTTGGGACTCCCGCCGCACTGGAGGCGGAGCCTTCACTGCTGTGGCCACGCCCACTGGAGGCGGGGCCTGTTTTTGGAGTCACTCCACCCTGGAGGCGGAGCCTCGGTTGCCTCAGCCACGCCCACCGAAGGCGGGGCCTGTTTTTGGACTCCCGCCGCACTGGAGGCGGAGCCTTCACTGCTGTGGCCACGCCCACCAGAGGCGGGGCCTGTTCTTGGAGTCCCACCGCCCTGGAGGCGGAGCCTTCACTGCTGTGGCCACGCCCACCGAAGACGGGGCCTGGTTTTGGAGTCATGCCACCCTGGAGGCGGAGCCTTGGTTGCCTCAGCCACGCCCACGGAAGGCGGGGCCTGTTTTTGGAGTCCAGCCGCATTGAAGGCGGAAACTTCACTGCTGTGGCCACGCCCACCAGAGGCGGCACTGGAGGCGGAGCCTTCACTGCGATGGCCACACCCACCGGAGGCGGGGCCTGTTTTTGGAGTCATGCGGCACTGGAGGCGGAGCCTTCTTTGCTGTGGCCACGCCCACCAGAGGCGGGGCCTGTTTTGGAGTCCCGCCGCCCTGGAGGCGGAGCCGTCACTGCAGTGGCCACGCCCACCAGAGGCGGGGCCGTCACTGCTGTGGCCACGCCCACCGGAGGCGGAGCCTTTCCAGTCCCAGCTCAAGTCTGGGGACCCACAGGGAGGCGACAAAGGAAGGGGTGGGGTGGGGGCCCAGGAACAGCCTTTCCCGGCCAGGGGCCCCGACAAGGCCCAGGGCCCCCTCGCGCGTTGGCCTCAAAAGCCGTCTCAGGTGTCCAGAGGGCGACTCCGGGGCAGGGCGGGCAGGGCCAGTGCACGCGCGTCCCGGGGGGGCAAGTGGGCGTGGGGGGTGCATGGCCCCGCCGGAGGGAGGGGGGCGCGGCTGGGGCCGGGGGGACAGGCGCGTCCCCGCACCGATGCACTGACCCCAACAGGCGTCCTCCCTCTCTGGCCTGCGTCCACGCGCTCCAGCGGCCAGGCGGACTCCAGGGGCAGCGGTGCTCAGTCTTTTCCCCGCGGGACGCTGCTCCCGGTGGCCCGTCCACGTCCGGCCTGTGTCCGGCGGGAGAGACGGGCCCTGGAGACTGGGGAGGAGGGGCCAGATGGAGGGAGCCCCAACTCCTGGGCCTTGGGGTGGCATGAGGAGGAGGGACGGTGACCAGGAGGCCTCGGCCAGCGGGTGTTGAAGAACCGCTGGCTGCCCCGTGCATCTCCGGCGGAGGTCAGCAGCGTGGACCCTTCTCCGCGGGGGTCCCCGGCCCTGGACTCGGCCACTCAGTGCTCCGCAGGGGCCGCTGCGGCCTCCTCCTCGCCAGGGGCCTTGGCGGTGCCGGGGGCGGTGGGCGTGGGGGGCGGCGGGGGGACGCCGGTGAGGGTGCGCAGGTGATGGGAGTCCACGGGCGGGACGAGGGTGGGCGACTCGGCGCTCAGGGCGTTGGGGGCGTCCTCGCAGAGCAGCGAGATGGTGGGCTGCTGTGTGGGGAGGAGGCTGGGGGACAGCTGGGCGGGCTCGGCCTCAGGGCTCCGGGCCTGTGGCCGGCTGGGCCTGGCATCTGCGCCCCCCTCGTGGACAGTCAGCAGCTGGTCGGCGAGGTGGGCGGGCTGGTCTGGAGTCGTGCCTTCATCTGGTGAGGGGGCAGAAGCAGAGATGGGGGCTCAGGCCCAGGCCCGGGGGAGGGGGCTGCACACCCGTCCACTTCCTCCTGATCTGGGGGGGCGGGAAGCTGGGTCAGACGCCTGCCCTGGGTCTGGGGGGCAGCACCGGGGAGGGACCCTGCCCTGCGACAGGAAGAGAACCTCAGGGCGCAGGTCCGCCCCCAGCCGGGCTTAGGGGGCGTCTCTGGGCTGACAGGGGGCCTGGCTCCGCTCCCGGCTCCAGGCTGGGCCCAGGATCTGCACTGGCCCCAGGGAACTTGCCCCCGAAGCCTTATGAGAACAAAACGAAACACCCTCTAGAACCTTTTGTTTGCAAAACCCAAACAGCCGATCTCCAGCTCCAATAAGCACCCACAAGAGCTCAAGGGTGGGGGTCCCCACAGCGTTCCGAGGGGGCGTGGAGAGGGGCACCTGAGCCCAAGGCTGCGGCTACTGGAATCGGTGTCCCCCCAACTCTGGGGCAGGGGACAGAACCCGCCCAATGTGCCCCAGGGTTGGTCCAGCAGGATGGGGAGATGGGGTGGGGGGGCGGGGCGGGAGTGGAAGGTGTCATCCCTGCAAACCACCTAGAGCTTCCACTTCCGGTCAGTGGGAGGAGAGGGAGGGCCTCTCACCTGGAAGCCAAGTTCAGTGTTTCAGGGTTGGGGTGGGGTGGGGTGGGGGTCAGGGGTGTCCTGGCTGCAGGTGCTGAACCCAGAGCCTGAGGGCTGCTGTGTCGTCTGGAACCACTGGAGAGCCAGATTTTTTTTTTTTTTTTTAAGTTAGAAGCCAAAACAAAGTGGGGATGCAAACGGATGAGAACAGAAAGCTGAGAGCAAAATGCAGGCAGGACACAGGCAGGACACAGGCAGGACACAGGCAGGACACAGGCAGGGCGCAGGCAGGGCGAAGGACCTGCTCCAGGCTCCGAGGAGCAGAAAGAACCAGGACAGAGAAGCAGTTCCTGGGACTTGCTTCAGGGGACATTTTTTTTGGGGGCAGGGTGCAGACCCCAGGGGGACTCAGGGCTGACTCCCGGCTCTGTGTTCAGGAATCCCCTCCAGGGAGGGCTTGGGGGACACTGTGGGGTGGCAGGGACTGAACTCAGGTTGGTTGCGTGCGAGGCAAGGGCTGGACCTCCCCTTTTTTTCTTTTTCTTCTTGGGTCACACCCGTCAATGCACAGGGGTTCCTCCTGGCTCTGCACTCAGGAATGACTCCTGGCGGTGCTCAGGGGACCCTATGGGATGCTGGGAATCGAACCCGGGTCGGCCGCGTGCAAGGCAAACGCCCTCCCCGCTGTGTTATCGCTCCAGTCCCACCTCCGTATTTTTAAAAAAATTAATGACTTAACAGCACTATACACACAAAGCTGGCTTGTTTTTTTGCTTTGTTTCTTGGTCACCCTAGTGGGGCTCAGGGCTGACTCCTGATCCTGTGCCAGGGACCACTCCTGGCGGTGCTGCGGGCCCATACGCGGTGCCAGAAATCAGCCCTGGGCTAGCTGCATGCAAGGCAGCGCCCCCCTTGCTACACTCTCTCTCTGCCCCTTTAAATGGCCTCTAATATTTATAGGAAAAGAAAAAACCGCTTCATCCCTCCACCCAACAGTCCCACAACATTTCTTCTTTTCCCTTTTTTCGGGGGGGAACACACCTGGCGATGCTCAGGGGTTCCTCCTGGCTTTGCACTCAGGAATGACTCCTGGGGGTCCTGGAGGACCCTGTGGGATGCTCGGGGCGGATCAGGGTCGACCGTGTGCAAGGCAGATGCCCTCCCCGACGTCTCGTCTCTGCCCACCCCTGTGACTGTCCCACTTTAAACTTGGGGCTGTTTCCTGACCGTGGGCGATAGGGTCGCCCCTTGAGAGGGGCAAGGGGGCCCTGCTGGGTTCTGCCGAGCAGCCGTGCGACCCGGCCGTGCTCGCTGGACCTTCCGGCCAGGTGGCGTCGTGCTGAGCTCCGGGTCCAGGAGGCAGGGGAGCTGCCAGGGCTCGGATGCGGGGTGGAGGCGGAGGATGGGGGATTCATTCCTGATGACCCTGCTGCCCCGGCCTGAGCAGACACAGAGCCAGGGGGTCCCTGTGGCCCCTCTGGGGCTGGTCAAGGGCGGGTCCAGCTCCGGAGGGCAGACAGGAGGAGGGGAGGGTGTCGGGGGGAGGCGAGCACAGCACGGAGGAAGCGACATCCAAGCACAGACGACACGGAGCCCGGGTCCCTGAGCTGCGGGCAGCCTGGCCGGGGTCTAAGGGCAGCCTGGCCGGGATCTAAGGGCAGCTTGGCTGGGGTCTAAGCGCTTGGCCCGGGCCCAACCTAAACCCTCCACGGAGCTGAGCGGGGAGGGGGTCTGGGAGAAGCGGAACAGAACAGAAAAGAAGCAAAGGCGCTCGGTGCAAATCCTCCTGCCCAGCCCCGGGGTGGGGGCCTCGCCGGGGGGCGGGGGGCCCGCCCTGGCTCCCCACCTGCCTGCACAGAGGCTGCAGAGGTGCTGGCGGCTGCGGTCGAAGCACTAAACCCAGTGGCCGCCGTGGCTGTCGGCCTCCGACAGGCTGAACAGGCGCCGGCGTCCTTTCCGGCCACTCCTGACTAGAGGGAAGCACAGGACAGTCAGAGGCCGCGGGCGAGAGCGGGAGGGGCGGGGCGGAGGCGCCGGGGGGCGGGGCGGAGGCGCCCGGGGGCGGGGCGGAGGCGCCCGGGGGCGGGGCGGAGGCGCCCGGGGGCGGGGCCTGAGATCCAGAGGGGCCCAGAGGGGCGCCCCCAGAGCTAGAGAGGTGGAGAGGAGAGCCCGAGGGGTGGAGCCGAGAGCCCCAGGGGGGGACGGAGAACCCGAGGGGCGGGGCCGAGAGCCTGAGGGGCGGGACCGAGAGCCTGAGGGGCGGGACCAAGAGCCTGAGGGGCGGGGCCGAGAGCCCGAGGGGCGGGGCTGAAAACCCGAGGGGCGGGACCGAGAACCTGAGGGGCGGGGCCGAGAGTCGAGGGGCGGGGCTGAGAACCCGAGGGGCGGGACCGAGAGTCAGAGGGGTGGAGCCGAGAGCCCAAGGGGCGGGACCGAGAACCCGAGGGGCGGGGCTGAGGGTCCGAGGGGCGGGGCCGAGAGCTCTAGGGGCGGGGCCGAGAACCCGATGGGTGGGGCTGAGGGCCCGAGGGGCGGGGCCGAGAGCCCAAGGGGCGGGACCGAGAACCCGATGGGCGGGGCTGAGGGTCCGAGGGGCGGGGCCGAGAGCTAGACAGGCGGAGCCCAGCGCCGTTGGGGCAGGGCCTGAGATCCAGAGGGGCAGGGCGAGGCCTAGGGGGCCCCACGCCCGACACCCCCTGCCTGCCGGGCCTGGAGGACCACCAGCGGCTGGGGTCTACACAGGGAGAGGAGGGCTGGGCACTGCCAGGGGAGGGGCATGTACGAGCCTGTGAGAGCCTGGGTGTGTCTGAGCGTGTGAGCCTGTGTGTGTGTGTGTGTGTGTGTGTGTGTGTGTGTGAGCATGCATGAGTCTGAGTAAGCGTGTATGTACGCACGTGTGTGAGCACTTGAGCAGATGTGTACACGTGTATGAGTGTGTGTGAGCCTGCGTGTGCGAGTGTGTGAGCCTCCTTCATGGGCGCACACGTGTGAGCCGTGGGGCGGGTTCTGTAAGCGCCCTGGGTCGGCTCACTGATGTCGCCTTTCCAAAGCACCAAATGCCGATGGCAGCGAGTTCAGCCCGGGAAGTGGGCAGAGGCTGCCAAGGCATGTCCCTGTCCTGGTGAGCTGGGGCGAGGGAGGTCGTGGTGCTTCTTGCAGGCCCCCAAGTGGGGATTGTGGCAGTGCTCCCGTCCGCAGCTGGGGACCCTGGTGACGGGGCTGTGCCTCCCTCCTGCCCCCGACCCCAAGAACCCTACTTGCGGGGGGGGGGGGTGAGCATCCCTGATGCTCCCTGGGTGTCTGAGCCTTATGTGCTTATGTGGGGGCCCAGTAGGGAGGGGCAGGGCCGACGGGCTCCCAGGTCTGCACAGTGCCTGGACCCCATGATGGCGGAGACGGCGTGGGCTCCCCCAGAGCTTCTGGGACCTCCATGCGCCACCGAAGACTTCAAAACCGGGGGCAGAGCCAAGGGAAGTGGGTGACTTGTCCCCTGGGGAGGGACCTCTCAGCCACCCCCACCTCGGCCATGCCCTCCCGAGCAGGGACGCCTGCGACTCATGGGGGGTTAGGGTTAGGGTTAGGTCTGCAAAGCCCTGGGGACAAAGGCCCCGGGGTCATCCTGCCCACAGTACTGGGGGTTCTGGGCCCCCTCTTCTGCCGGCCCTCCCCACCCGGTGGGGCCTGGCGAGAGAGGCAAAAGGTGCTGGCAACAGCTAGTTCTGCTCCTGCAGAGACCGTGGGGACCGCCATGTGGCTTCTCGAGGGCCCTGGGGGGCCGCAGGGGGCCACCGGCAGCTGTGGGTGGGGAGGAGCCTGGACACGTGCTCACAGGCTGACAGGGACCCGCTGGCCCAGGTGAGGGATTTTGGTGTCTACAGAGCTCCGACAGGCAGACTGGCCTCAGGCTTTGGCTGTCACTGCATAAAAAACGGGAGCCGAACCCACCCCCACCCCTTCCCCTCGTCCCCCTCCCAGCCTCCGAGAGCGGCCAGGGACCAGCTGGGAGGGAAGAACCCTGGACAGGGCCTGAGTCAGGGCTAGACAGGAGCTGCCAGGCCCCCCCGCCCTGTCATCTCTGCGACAGAGGACACATCGGTGGCGGGGTGTGGGGGAGGTGGGCACAGGGAGGGGGGCTCCAACACCGGCCCTTGGCGGAGGCGGGGCAGGGAGCACTTGCATAGCCCACTTGGGTCACGAGGGTCTTTGTTGATTGGTTTATTTTGGCCACCTGGAGCACTCATGGCGGTGTTGGGGGGGAGGGGAGGAGAAGGACCCTGCGCGGGGCTGGTTCCATTTCAGGCAAAGAAACCCGGGGTTGGGGGCGCAACTCTGGAGTGAAGACGGGGGTGCGGGTGTGTGAGGGGGGTGAGGACAGGGCGCCTGGCACACACCACACAGACAGAGACGAGACGGGCGGCAGAGCACGGGCACACGGGCATATGGACACAGCCTAGCTCTGAGCTCACCTGATGGGGGGGCTCAGACACAGCCGGGGGGGGGCATCACCTCAGGGCAGGGCCCAGGGAAAGAGGAAGGTGTGAGTGAGGGTGTGGGAGGGTGGCAGAGGGGCCGCAGGGGTGCCCTGAGGACCCCCAGCCAGGCTGGGTTGACCCTTTGCTGGAGAGAAAGGAGTGGGTGTCCCTCCACCTCTGGCTCCGGGCCCCTCCGTGGCCCCAGCACTGGCCCCCTTGGCATGTCGCTCTGGGGGACGGACCCCAGGCTGGGCTGGATCGAGTCAGGACTTAGGAGCAGGGCCCACGTGCAAGGGTGTGTCGCTCAGGGTAGCTCTCCTCCTGGGAGAGGGTTCTGAGGCGTGTGTGTGTGCGTGTGTGTGTGTGTGTGTGTGTGTGTGTGTGTGTGTGGTGGCGGCTCCTCGGGGCGCCCCCAGGCCCACCCCAACTTCCCCTGCTCACAGGGTCATGGCATTTGTGTAAGGTCTGGGGAAGAGGGATGCAGGACACAGAGGCTGCTGCCCAGTGTAGATGCCGACAGTGGTCAGTGGCTGGTCACTGCGGGGAGAGTGAGACTCAGACTCGAGGGTGATCACAGGGCGGCGGGGGGGGGGGTGTTGGACTCGGCTCTGTCATGGTAGGAGGGCCGGTCTGTGCCGGGAGCTGGACCCCCAGACGCAGTAGCCAGGAGGGGCCCGTGCTCCCTCGTGTCTCCCTCCCCCACTGCACCCCGGGGCCAGTACCTGAGGGGCTCTGGGTGGCCGAGGGGGTGGACGATGAGCTGGGGCCGCCTGAGTCGCAGTGGCTGGTGGTCCCGCTGCTGCCGGGGCTCCCACTGGCGGATGGCGGCGACGTGGAAATGCTTTGCTGGTTCAGGCACTGGGCCACGGCGAAGCCTGGGGGCGAGGCGGCGGTGAGTGAGGGTGGGGTGGGGTGGGCGGCCTGGGCCCTGGAACCCAGCTGCACCTGGGAGGGCCCCACCCGCTCCCGGCCGCAGGTCCCTGTGGGGGAAAGCGGGGTAGGGGGGCTGAAGTGGGGCCCTGAAGCTGCCCGGCCGCCCGGGCCCGTTTGTCTGGTTTGCCTGCCCGACTCGCCTGGGGCTTCCTCCGGGCACTGCGCTGAGGAATCTCAGGCGGCAGCTCTGGGGACCCACGTGGGGGCCGGGGACGGAGCTGGGGTCAGCCGCACGCGAGGCAGGTGCCCTGCCCCGTGTGCTGCGGGCCCATCCCAACAGACGCCCCCGTCCGGGAGGGGGTGGTGGCCTCGGGAGCAGGGGTGGCCTGGCCCAGCTCCATCCTCCCTGTGCTCATCTGCGTGCCTGGCCCAGAAGCCGCAGAAGCAGACCAGGGCCTGGTGTGTGCTCGGCCCTGCAGGTCCTCGGGGTGCCTCTGAGCCTGGGGGCGTGGGGACCACCTCGTGCGGGAGACCCCGAGACAAAACCGCGCCTCCCGCGGTCCCAGCGGGGGCCGAGCATGGCCGCTGCTCCCAGACCCGCTTCCAGGGCACAGCGTTTCCGCCACAAATACCCCCTCAAGCCCAGACTCCACGGGGGTGGGGGGAGCACTGAGCCACCGAGTCCCCCAGGGAATGACCGCCAGGCCAAATGGGGGCAGAGTGGGACAGGTGTCATCTCGCCGCTCGGCTTGGTGCCTCTTGGGAACTCAGAAGCCCCAGCCCTGGACGCCGCTGCTGCCCACCGATTCACACTCAAGGCTCCTGCGCCGTGACGGGGTCCGTCCATGTGTCTATCCGTCTGTCTGTCCATCTGCCTCCCTAGAGGCAACGTCTGGGCACAGCGCCGTGAGGCCTTCTCCCCTCGCACCCAAGTCCCTGCTGGGCCTGGCCACGGGAACAAACCCCATGACACTGACGGGCAGCAAACTGGGGGGGGGGTCCATGGGGCAGCTGGGCCACATCAGGAAGCAAGGAGGGGGCTGGACAGCTCCCCACCTCTTCCTCTTGTGGGACAGCGACCTGGGCTCTGAGCGAACGGTTCATCAGTCAGGAGTGGACACTCGGACCCGGCCGTGTCAGCCGGGGGAGCCCGGGGACACACAGAGGACTGGGCAGGGCTGCGGGTCACGGCCTGTGCAGCCCCCTGACTCTCTCCCCCTCAGACCCCGGGTCTGCACACAGCAGCTCCACCTTTTTGGGTCACACCCACCGATGCTCAGAGGTTACTCAGGAATTACCCCTGGTGGTGCTTGGGGGACCCTATGGGTTGCCGGGGATCGAACCCGGGTCAGCTGCGTACAAGGCAAACGCCCTACCCATGGTGCTATCTCACCCGTCCCAGCTCTGCTCAACTTTGCTCCGAAATTGCTCCTTCACGAGAAACAGAGAAGCCGGTGGAGGGGGGGAGGGACCGTGCCGGGCCAGGGGCTGCACACGCCACCTCAGGTCACCCTGGGCCGAGGGGCTTTGGGGTCTGTCGTCAGCCCTCGGCCCACGTGGCCTGGGATGTGCCTGCTGGCCCGGGAGGAGCTGGAGGGAGGAGCGAGGGAGACGGTGGGGCCAGGCTGGGCTCTCTCCCCCATGACATCCACACCCACCCACCCACCCACCCAGCAGTGTTCCGTCCAGTCCTGCCCTGCACAGGACCAGGGTGGCAGCCTGGCAGGGAGGACCTGGGCGGCCGCTCGCCTGCAGACTGCAGCATCCACAGCCCTTGGTGCTGGGAAACAGGAAAAAAAAAGTCAAGGGGCTGGAGCGATATCACAGCAGGTTGGGTGTTTGCCTTGCACACGGCCGACCCCGGTTCGATTCCCAGCATCCCATAGGGTCCACCGAGCACTGCCCGGAGTAATTCCAGAGTAACTGCAGAGCGGGGCGGGCGGCTGGGCAGGATGGACATGCGACGTGCAACCTTCTGGTCCCCGCCCCTCAGAGACTGCCTGAGACCTGAGCCCCCGGGGAGCACAGGAGGGGCTTGAGGCAGCCGAGGTGGCCCCAGGGCGGGGGGCTGGTGCGCACAGGGGCAGGGCAGTAGGAACCGGGTGTGGGGGGGTCCCCTACAGCCCCCACACTCACCACTGAGGCCTGAGTGATGGAGAACGTTGGCTCCCTGCACTGAGCACCCTTTGAGCACCCCCTGACCGTAGCCCGCCCTGGTGCGCCTCCCCGGCCTCTGCAGAACCAGGAGGCGCAGACAGGTAAGCCTGGGAAACGGGTGTTTCTAGCTCCTCCCTGGGTCCGGCCTGAGTGACGTCAACCCTCCCCCCCCCCCCGCCCACCGGCCCCTCAATCACTAACTAGCTGCACCTCCAAACGCTTCAAGACTTTTATTTCCGATTGTGTCAAAGGGGGTCATACATTGGGTATACGAAAATAGTGGGGCACTTGCGGTCTTAGCCTATCAGGCGCTCCTTCGTGGCTGAATCCACTCGGATTCTAAGCACTAGGTCTGCAAACCTGCCGAGGAGGACAAAGGGGCTTTCAGGGGTGGCCCTCCCCGCGCCCGGCTCTGCCCTGCCCCCGCGTCACAGCTCGCAGGCTAGGTCTGGTGCCCGGCCCCTGCCCGCGCCCGCCAGCTTTACCGTTGGGAAACGAGCGACCACAGCGAGAGGCACCAGTCCCGTAGCCAGAGCACAAGCAGGGCCAGCAGCCCTGGCTCCCGCTGCCCCTCTAGGGAAGGAGAAGCAGAGGGGCGTGGTTAGACCCCAGGCTCACAAGGGGTCCAACCCTCTGGGCCCGACGGGGAAACACTGGCCACGACGCGCGGAACCCGGCCAGCAGGGAGGAGGGACGGAGCCCTCCTGGGACGGGCTGGACGTTCAAGCGGGGCCCAGCCTGGGATTACCGGGGATGGCACCCGGCTCGTCACAGTCCCCCGCCCCGGGACCACGCGACCGCCTTCCGCTTGTCAGCACTGATCTTTGCCGGCCGACGGGGTGACGGGGGACACAGAGCCACGGACAGGATCCAGCCCCGACGACCAGCTGGAGCACCGGTGTCACGGGCCCGGAGCAGCGGCCTGCGGAATCTGACCAGGGCCCTCCCTCGGTGGCGCGCCAGGCAGTCTGTGTACTGCTGGCATGGGACGCGAGCGTGCGTGTGTGCGTGCCTGCGTGTGCCATGGGGGTGTGCTCTTTGTGTGTGCGCGCGTGTAAGCGTGCTGCGCTTGCCTGTGTGCACCCTGAGGGCTGTGGAAGTGTGCTGCGTGTGCATGCGTGTGCATATAAGTGTACGTGGTGCTCTGCGGGCACCCAGGTGCTGTGTTTATACGTGTGCAGGGTGCTGGTGTGAGATGCTTACGAGCGTTGTGTATGCCACGCTGATGCACACACGTGACAGCGTGGCTTGGGCACCTGCTGTGTACATGTTATCTGCATGTCAGACGTGTTACGTTTGTGTGACGTGTTGCTGTATGTGCCGTGTGCTCATGAAAGTGCTGTTCACGCCTGTGATGTGTCGGGCGTGAGACCAGTTGTAGTTACTGGTTTTGGCATAGCGGATACACAACGGATAGCTTGCCAGGCTCTTCCGTGCGGGCGGAATACTCTCGGTAGCTTGCCAGTCTTTCCGCGTGACCGCGTGGCCGCCCACCTACCAGACGGTCAGACTTCTCCCTCAAGATCATGAACGATCGGTTTGAGGCCCTTCATGTTCCCGGAGCGAACAGACGCCATCGGGCTACACTGGCACGCGACGGGGACGAATGGAGACGTTACTGGCGCCCGCTCGAGCAAATCGACGACCAACGGGAAGTTAAGTGATTAAGTGTCGGGCATGTAACACCTGTTTATGCACGTCCTGTGTGTACGTGTTGGTGTGCGATGCACACGCGTGCCTGTGCCCATCTTAGAGTCACCTAACCACAGGGGTGCTCCCCGGTGGGAGAGCGCCGGCAGGGGACTGTGCATGGCTGGAGGGGCTCCCGCCGCGTCCCCCCCACCGGCCCGCCCCACCCCCTCCCCATCTGTCCTGACGAAGCGGAGCTGGCGGGCTGATGGAGACTCGCCCGCGGGTCTGCATTTGTAGTTTTGACTTATTTTTTTTAAGTATTATTAATATTTCATCATAAAAGTATTGATTTCCTTTAACTAAGAGACTTTAAAGTTTGCTGCATCCTTAAGCATGATTTTATTATGTCTTGGGGCCAAATGTTTCCCCCCCTCCCCCCCCAAGGACTGCTCTGCCTTTTCTATAATGTGTGTCAAGAAGAAGAAAGGAATTGATTCGCCGAATCCTGCACTGCAGGCAACTTTGATGCAGGCGCAGGGCTGGGAGGCGGACTTGACCGTGGAGACCTCGGCATCAAGGCCCTGTGCTTTTGCGGAAACGGGGGCTTGGGGGGGGCCGGGGCGGTGGCACGGTGGGGAGGGCGCCCGCCTCGCTGGCTCAATCCCGAGCCTCGCCGGGTGTGGCCCCCAAACAAAATGGAATCAACACAAAATAAAGGAGGGGGCTCCATCCCAGAGGGGACCCCCAGACTCGGGCTCCTCCCAGGCGCGGCATCAGGAAAACCTTCCCCAAACCGCCTCCCGCCACTCCTGCCCAGCCTCCCACACGGCCGGAGCCCAGGAGGACACGCCGCCGCTGGGCCGGGCTTCCCTCTGGCTCGCTGGACCAGCCCGGCAGGAAGCAGGCGCAGGGCGGCTGGCGGGCCGAGCGAAGGCGCCGTGAAACGCGTCGGCGTCGAACATCCTCGCTCCTTCCTCCCGTGTATTAGTAACCTGGGTCCGCGTCACCACGTACCACCCTTCTTCCCAAGAATCCAAGACACAACGGACAACGCCAGGGCCGCCGAGGAGGGGGTGGGGGGGTGGGCGTGGGCGATTTGGGGCCCCCCCCCCCTCTCTCTCTCTCCCTCTCCCTCTCTCTCTTTCCTCCCCTTTACGGTCAGCCCCACGTGCTCACAGCCGCCAGTTCCTGGAAGCGTCTCAGCCTCTCCCTG